TATAGTATTTAAATAATATATTCTAAATGATTTAAGTCAGTATATTCGAATTATATGTTCAATTATACATATATATTCTGAAATCTTCTTATATCAGATGTGTTATAAGATAAACCCTTCAAGGATTTCAAGGAAATTCATTGCTATGTGAGAAACTTTATTAACAAATAAAAGGCAAAGCACAGCATAAGTTCACCCTTAGATGCATCAAAAGCCAAGTGCCACAACTTGTACTATTTTGTACTTCCAATATTAAAATACAACCTCCACTAAGTGACAGCATTATATATTTCTATAGGCGTCCGCAACACAAATAGCAGCTAAAACCCTTTAAATAGACTTAAATAGTGTCAACAGTAGACAACATGCTTCTTCTCCTGCACCAGAGCTCCTTCTGGTGGTAATTCAGCAAAGTGTACAATTCACTGACTAGAGCAGGGGTGTCAAACTCTATTCCTGGAGGGCCGGAGCCCTGCAGAGTTTAGATTCAACCCTAACTAAACACACCTGATCCAACTAATCAAGTCCTTCAGGCTTATTTGAAAACGTATGGTATGTGTGTTAGAGTAGGGTTAGAACAAAACTCTTTAGGGCTACGGCACTCCAAGAATTGTTTGACACCCCTGTACTAGAGTTTGCCAATTAGCACTGATTTAAGCTCAGTCTCTACTCCTCAAACAATCATGGTAAATACATCTGGACAAGAGACAAAACTGACTCTGCACCAGCACGTAATGAAAAACCTAATAACATAGTACACAATAAAGGCAAACAGGACAGCAGAGAAGGGAATTAGGCACAGCAGTGCTGCCCTCTAGTGGGCAGGAGTCTACAGTGAGGTTGCAGCAGGACGGCTCAGATGTGACTAAGCGAGCACCCATTGAAGAATGCTGGTGTCCTTCCCACCAGTAGAGATAAGATGACTGTCATCATGGAGAAAGGCAACGTTGGTCACATGGCTGCTATGCCCACCATAGATATGGCTGGGAGCCTGTGGATGAAGCGAAAACAAAGTTTTATAAAGTATGATTTGACTGATTGGCCAGTATTGAAAATAAAATGGAAAAAAAATCTCACCCTTGGCTGGGAACAGGGGTTAGAGAACAAGTGCACTTTGCCAAAATCATCAGCTGAGGCAAGGAGGTTGTTGTCATGTGACCTGCATAGAGCATTAATGTCTGTGCCATCAGCACCCTCTGGCCAGATTCCTTATAAAATAAAATAAAAACAAAAAAAATGAAATGAAATAAAATAAATGGAAAGGGACAAGTAGAGGAAAAATGTCTTAATCTGATAATATCCCAAAAACATTATTTCAACATTACATGGCCATTTCCAGGAAAACGTATATTAAACTGATAATATATACAGGATACTATTAAACTGTTTTTTCCATATTATGTGTAAGGTGTGACTTACCAAACACATTGAAACCTAGCACACATGTGGAAGTGGCCCATTCTAGATTCCGCACTGCATCTGCACTAGTAATATGCTTCCCACTGGATGCCTCCCCTTTTTAACAGGAAACATATAACCAGCCATTAATACATGACATCTGAGCTTCATTCACTGACAAAGGTGTTAGGTGAGAAAACAACTCACAGAACAAGATCTCATAGTCGCCTGAGTTGGTTACAATAAACTGGCTGTCGGTGGACCAGTCGAGATGAGTGACAAAACTGGAGTGTCCCTACGGATACAAGACACAGTATTAAACGAATGCTCATGATCTCCAATTAATTATAATGAAAAGAAACTTTTGGGATGATGAATTTATTCCCTTGTAGAACTCACAGTGCATTTGCCAACACGGCTGTATTTCCTTCCGTTCTCAGTAACAGAGTAGATGTAAACAAAATTGTCATGAGAAGCCACAGCCAGGTACGCCCCATCTATGAGACGGAGAGGATGTGAGTGGCGATTTTGGACACATACACTACCAGTCACAAGTTTGGGGTTTAAAATATAAAAATAGACAAGTCATTTTAAACTAATAAGATTTCATAATTGTATGTTTTTTAGTGTATTTTTGATCAAATAAATGCAGCCTGAAACTTTGTATGTATTTTGAAAGAGTGAAAGGAGGTTAAAATTCCAACAGTGAATAAGGATTAGTTGTGACTAATGGCTAAAAGCACAAAAGAACACTAAACACACCTGGAGAATATTTAACAGCGGAGATGATTTCATTGCCATCTGTATGCATAGAGACGAGATCACGGGTGTCAGTGTCCAGCACCAACCACCTGTAAGATGGTGCAAAAAAAAATTCTTATATTATAATTACAAATGTTTTTAATTAAATATACAGTTATGAAATTAACATCCCAATTTTAAAACAGCTGTTAAATGTTTCTGCTTTATGACATGTTATGTCATGTTAATTAAGTCTATACTTATAAAGTTCCCATGTGCAATCATACCTTCCTGTCATAGTGCCCACAGCAAGAACAGTGCCACTGGGATGAAATCCAACAGAACGCCCAGGGTCCTAGAATAAAAACAAATAAATACATTACAACTGCATTATAAAATATTTTAATATAAAATATATGCATTTCATTTTTATATTTTAACATGAATATTAAACAATAAAAATATTACAAATATATATTTTATACAATGTACAAATACAATTACATTTTATAATACATTTAAAATATAAAATATATTTTAAAATTAGGAATTTCATTTTTATATTTTAATATAATTCAACATTTTTTTTAACAATTAAAAATTAATAATATATATTTTTTAAATTATATTTTATACAATGTAAAAATAAAATAAAAATATAAAACATTTATTGTGGTGATATGATATTTATTCAATGCATTTGTTTGTAATATTTTAATATACATATTATAACAAATAAATAAATAAACTAAATCTATATATCCATAGCAGAACATTCTGAAAATGTCTAACATGGTCACTCGTCTTCAATGTGAACTACAGTGTACAAAATAAAACATGCAAAGCAGATGAGAAATTCTTTTGATTATGTTTACATATTACTGGAATGTAAAAGTAAACACAGAGTTCATACAAACCTCAATGGCCTTGCTCCACAGAGGTAGATGGGAAGAGGTGTCCCAGAGATAGACCTGCTTGTCTTGACCACATGTCACAAACTGCTCAGTACTGGGATGCACATCCAAGCCCCACAACTCATCAGTGTGACCCTTTCACAGAGAGAAAACAGAGACCAGGCTAGGAATGGCAGCTTTCCATCCAAACAACCAGTCTCAGGCCCAGAGGCCATGCCCTGTACTTGAATTGATTCTTGTTGCCTAATCTATCCCTTCAGGCATGTAAACACACATAACTGTAGTTGGTTGTTTTACATCTGGTCTCTTCCTGTTTAAGTGGGCAGATCTTGGCAAATATAAGCTGCAATATGGTCCAGAGCATATGCTGTTTATTATCAAAGGTCTGGTTACAAGAAACTGAGGAAAAATGTTGTGATCTTGTTGACTTTTGGCAAAGATATTATGCCAAAAGTCATCTAAACACAGTTTATCATCTGACAACGAGTAGTTTGGTGTTTCATGACCCTCTAGAGCAGGGGTGTCAAACTCTATTCCTGGAGGGCCGGAGCCCTGCAGAGTTTAGATTCAACCCTAACTAAACACACCTGATCCAACTAATCAAGTCCTTCAGGCTTATTTGAAAACGTATGGTATGTGTGTTAGAGTAGGGTTAGAACAAAACTCTTTAGGGCTACGGCACTCCAAGAATTGTTTGACACCCCTGTACTAGAGTTTGCCAATTAGCACTGATTTAAGCTCAGTCTCTACTCCTCAAACAATCATGGTAAATACATCTGGACAAGAGACAAAACTGACTCTGCACCAGCACGTAATGAAAAACCTAATAACATAGTACACAATAAAGGCAAACAGGACAGCAGAGAAGGGAATTAGGCACAGCAGTGCTGCCCTCTAGTGGGCAGGAGTCTACAGTGAGGTTGCAGCAGGACAGCTCAGATGTGACTAAGCGAGCACCCATTGAAGAATGCTGGTGTCCTTCCCACCAGTAGAGATAAGATGACTGTCATCATGGAGAAAGGCAACGTTGGTCACATGGCTGCTATGCCCACCATTGATATGGCTGGGGGCCTGTGGATGAAGTGAAAAATGTTTAATCAAGTATGATTGCATAGAATGGCCAATACTGAAAATAAAATGCAAAACAAATCTCACCCTTGGCTGGGAACAGGGGTTAGAGAACAAGTGCACTTTGCCAAAATCATCAGCTGAGGCAAGGAGGTTGTTGTCATGTGACCTGCATAGAGCATTAATGTCTGTGCCATCAGCACCCTCTGGCCAGATTCCTTATAAAATAAAATAAAAACAAAAAAAATGAAATGAAATAAAATAAATGGAAAGGGACAAGTAGAGGAAAAATGTCTTAATCTGATAATATCCCAAAAACATTATTTCAACATTACATGGCCATTTCCAGGAAAACGTATATTAAACTGATAATATATACAGGATACTATTAAACTGTTTTTTCCATATTATGTGTAAGGTGTGACTTACCAAACACATTGAAACCTAGCACACATGTGGAAGTGGCCCATTCTAGATTCCGCACTGCATCTGCACTAGTAATATGCTTCCCACTGGATGCCTCCCCTTTTTAACAGGAAACATATAACCAGCCATTAATACATGACATCTGAGCTTCATTCACTGACAAAGGTGTTAGGTGAGAAAACAACTCACAGAACAAGATCTCATAGTCGCCTGAGTTGGTTACAATAAACTGGCTGTCGGTGGACCAGTCGAGATGAGTGACAAAACTGGAGTGTCCCTACGGATACAAGACACAGTATTAAACGAATGCTCATGATCTCCAATTAATTATAATGAAAAGAAACTTTTGGGATGATGAATTTATTCCCTTGTAGAACTCACAGTGCATTTGCCAACACGGCTGTATTTCCTTCCGTTCTCAGTAACAGAGTAGATGTAAACAAAATTGTCATGAGAAGCCACAGCCAGGTACGCCCCATCTATGAGACGGAGAGGATGTGAGTGGCGATTTTGGACACATACACTACCAGTCACAAGTTTGGGGTTTAAAATATAAAAATAGACAAGTCATTTTAAACTAATAAGATTTCATAATTGTATGTTTTTTAGTGTATTTTTGATCAAATAAATGCAGCCTGAAACTTTGTATGTATTTTGAAAGAGTGAAAGGAGGTTAAAATTCCAACAGTGAATAAGGATTAGTTGTGACTAATGGCTAAAAGCACAAAAGAACACTAAACACACCTGGAGAATATTTAACAGCGGAGATGATTTCATTGCCATCTGTATGCATAGAGACGAGATCACGGGTGTCAGTGTCCAGCACCAACCACCTGTAAGATGGTGCAAAAAAAAATTCTTATATTATAATTACAAATGTTTTTAATTAAATATACAGTTATGAAATTAACATCCCAATTTTAAAACAGCTGTTAAATGTTTCTGCTTTATGACATGTTATGTCATGTTAATTAAGTCTATACTTATAAAGTTCCCATGTGCAATCATACCTTCCTGTCATAGTGCCCACAGCAAGAACAGTGCCACTGGGATGAAATCCAACAGAACGCCCAGGGTCCTAGAATAAAAACAAATAAATACATTACAACTGCATTATAAAATATTTTAATATAAAATATATGCATTTCATTTTTATATTTTAACATGAATATTAAACAATAAAAATATTACAAATATATATTTTATACAATGTACAAATACAATTACATTTTATAATACATTTAAAATATAAAATATATTTTAAAATTAGGAATTTCATTTTTATATTTTAATATAATTCAACATTTTTTTTAACAATTAAAAATTAATAATATATATTTTTTAAATTATATTTTATACAATGTAAAAATAAAATAAAAATATAAAACATTTATTGTGGTGATATGATATTTATTCAATGCATTTGTTTGTAATATTTTAATATACATATTATAACAAATAAATAAATAAACTAAATCTATATATCCATAGCAGAACATTCTGAAAATGTCTAACATGGTCACTCGTCTTCAATGTGAACTACAGTGTACAAAATAAAACATGCAAAGCAGATGAGAAATTCTTTTGATTATGTTTACATATTACTGGAATGTAAAAGTAAACACAGAGTTCATACAAACCTCAATGGCCTTGCTCCACAGAGGTAGATGGGAAGAGGTGTCCCAGAGATAGACCTGCTTGTCTTGACCACATGTCACAAACTGCTCAGTACTGGGATGCACATCCAAGCCCCACAACTCATCAGTGTGACCCTTTCACAGAGAGAAAACAGAGACCAGGCTAGGAATGGCAGCTTTCCATCCAAACAACCAGTCTCAGGCCCAGAGGCCATGCCCTGTACTTGAATTGATTCTTGTTGCCTAATCTATCCCTTCAGGCATGTAAACACACATAACTGTAGTTGGTTGTTTTACATCTGGTCTCTTCCTGTTTAAGTGGGCAGATCTTGGCAAATATAAGCTGCAATATGGTCCAGAGCATATGCTGTTTATTATCAAAGGTCTGGTTACAAGAAACTGAGGAAAAATGTTGTGATCTTGTTGACTTTTGGCAAAGATATTATGCCAAAAGTCATCTAAACACAGTTTATCATCTGACAACGTATACCTGAACAATGGGAGTGAGGGAACCAGAGAAAGAGCCCCGTAGCACAGCGTTTCGGGTTGTTCCCACAAACAGCTCATCCTGTTTTCCTTCAGCTAGAGTGCGGACAGGACCAAAGGCCTCGGGAACCTGATTACACAGAGAGAAATATGTTAAGGAACATGTAATCTGTACATCTCATCTAAAACACGATTTGTACAAATTGTTCTGACTTAAAGTGAATTCAGTGCTGATGTATCTGGATCTAATAAATAAGACAAATGAATGTCTGGATTACATTTCAGCACTAGAAATATGATAACATCAAAAAGTCATATTGAAGAGTACATGGCGATCATTAATAATGAGTATCTAGTTCAACACTGCTGTCTGGATTTCATTATGAATGCCAGTAAAGCTTTTATTTGTTTAGTAAGAACAAGAAAACTTCACCTCAATCTCACTCTTTTTACGGTAATCGTGGTCCCACAGCAGCACCCTGCGGTCTTTTCCTCCACCTGACACCAGCGTTCCATCTCACTATGCCAGGAAACTGTACATTATTAGGTCTAGTATTGCTGCATTGTATTAACTTCTTCCCAACAGCCACACACTCTTTTATACAGCATGCCACCTTTCCTCACCTTAACCTCTGCCAGTTGCTTTTCTTTCTGCCAGTCCCAAACAGACAAAATGTGGTCATTTGCATCGTCAACCGCACACAAATGAGCACCACCATTCTGTGAAGAGGAGAGATATTATATCCATGTAAAATACCATTGTTCATTCAGCCATTTACCATTGATCAAATATTCATTATCTATACCCATTGTGCAGATTTCTCATAATAAGGCAACAAAGCACAGATTATTTACCCAGAATTTAAAAGGAAAAGATCGCTTACCGACTTTGAGAAGGCAACACAGGTGACAGCTCTGTCAAACACGCCCGCTCCGATCACATGGAGAGTGTTCAAACTGACGGAGTCCCACACACGGACATGAGGCTGCAAAGCCTGATGGGAAAACAACCATTGAGTTATATGCATATGATTGTAGCTTCTCAAAAACAGATTAAAGGAATAGTTCACATAATCATTATTTACTCATTTTATATACTCATATTTATTTTACATACAATACAGTTCAAAAGTTTGGGGACAGTGAGATTTTTAAAAAAATGTTTATGAAAAAAAAGTCTTGTGCTTACCAAGGCTGCATTTATTCGATAAAAATACAGTAAAAACAGTATTATTACTATTTTATTATATTTTAAAATGCAATTTATTCCTGTGATAGCAAAGCTGAATATTCAGCAGCCATTACTCCAGTCTTCAGTGTCACACAATCCTTCAGAAATCATTCTAATATACTGATTTGGTGCAAAAAGTTCTTATTATTATCAATGTTGAAAACAGTTTTGCTGCTTCATATTTTGTGAATACCATGAAACCTTTTTTTTTTAAATTGTTTAAACAATAAAAACCTCAAAAGAAGAGCATTTAATTGAAATAGAAATCCCATTAAGATTATAAATTTCTGTACTGTCACTTTTGATCAATTTAATGCATTCTTCCTGATTAAAAGTATATATCTTAAGGCTATAATTCATAAAGCTAATACACTTTGCAAGCTGCTAAAACATTAATGTACAATGGGTCTGTTTCTGAGCACACAGAGGGCTGGTTCAAGCCGCAAGATCAACACATCATTATACTGCTACAGAATGTAAATGTGAACTAACTTTGCCATCTTTGGATGTTCCGGCAACTTGTCCTGTTGCTATGGTGACCATGTCTGGATGGATGGCCAAACTGCAAAGAGAACATTGTCAGGATCAGTGCTTGTCAGAAAAGATTCCTCATCTCTCTCCCCCTCTCACTAGGGAACCGTAAATGAATGCAGTCTGATCCCAGAAAAAGCTGTAAACAGGCTGCAACTGTTTTTGCAAACCAGCAGGGACTTTGACAGTCACAGAGAGAGCATTCCAGTGTTATTTTAATTAGCAACAAATGCTAATTAACTAATATTTTACAACATATAACATGTTGACGCTGATCACACTGTTACAGCAGAAGAGATCTACATAAAATAATCTCTGAATGGCTAATAGTAGAAGCATTGCCTTGCAGCCAAACAGAAGAGAAAAACAGAAGGCAGAAGAGATCTAGTTTGATTGCAGGTGTATTTGAATATACTGCAGGATTCGCTTATCTTGAAGATAAGAGTCTGTTAAGCGAAGCAAGATCTGGCCCTAAAAATGCAAATTTGCTCAGAAACTAGCAACACTTCCTGAGTACATTGGCTCTTTTTGCAAAACGATAGAGATATAGTGGTATAAAATATTTGTTCATGAAGATGATAAGTACAATGATAACATCTTATGGACCTTTGAACAGTGACCTAGTTTAAGAATAATCTGCATATGATTTCCCTGTATGACATCAACGTTGGACTGATTTTGCTCCTGCAATAGTTCAACCAGTGCTGTTAATCTTCATTAACAGTGCAATAATGGACCAAAAGCATGTGGAAACTCTCTTACAAATCAATTGAATGTATATTTACCACTTGACATCATCATTATGGCCCAGATAGTGTCTTTGTTGCTGCTCTTCTACATTGTACAGCACCACTACGGAAGCATTGAAGTACACAATCTCTCCCGTCGGCAGCAGGTACAGGTTGGAACGGCAGTCTCTTCCCCTATAGCCGTAACTAATGGAGTGTGTTAAGAAACTAAATGCATTTCCACAGACTGTAGTAAATAAGCAAAGATGTGTGCTATTAAATCAACACTATTTTGTGTCACATTTTAAATGGTTTTCAATTCTATTGATAAAATTAGCTCAATTTTGAAGATCACTGATGCACTTTGTTAATTGATACTCATTAATTAAATTAATTTTCTTTATGGGCTAAATAAAAAAAAGAAGAGAAAGACTGGAAGCAAATCTCCTATAAAATTCTTATTTTTTAATATGGTAAAATTCCCACGTTGTTAAATACAATTTATCTATCAAAATTCATCATTATTCACTAAAATAATTTTTAAATCTGAACTAGCTAAATAAAAAAATAAAAAATAAAAAGACAATTGCAAGGATACACCCACTGAAGTTTTAGCTTGCGCTCTGGCAGTGCCACTTTGTGGTCAAGGCTGTAACTTTCCCTCAGCTGGTCTGGAATATGCATGGTGATTGGACGTCCACGTAGGAACATCCTCACGTAACCATCATCTGTTCAAGAGGAACAAAACATAAGTGACCAAACATAAACAAGCAGTAAACATGGTTTGTTAGGGATGATTTGTCATATTATCCAGGCCCTGCTGACAGAATTACGCTCATTTAGAAACCCATTACAAAATGAGATTGACTGGAGGCATAATGGCAATCCAAAATTGTTTTTAGATGTAATGCAGAGGATAATGTGATCCATTCAGGCTAATTTGTAAGGAACATTTCCCATAACACAGGGCTCAGTCTCTCCCTGCACGACTAGTTAAGCACAGTTTAACAAATATTACATGCATATAAATTTCACTCAACACTCAAACTAATATTCTGTTGTACTAAAAGGGGTCATATGATGTTGCTAAAAAGAACATTATTTAGTGTATTTGGTAGCCGTTTTAGGTAGGCGTGGTTGACTCTTAATTTTTATAAAGAATATCTCTTTGGATTTGAGACTTTAGTCTTTGCAACTTTACAGATCTTCTTTATGCACCAAGAGCTTGTAACACTCCAAAGAGAAAGGAAAAATTGAATACTGTGGGTAAAACAATACTGTTTCCTGATCCTGGTAGAGTAGACTACAATGCCGGCTGTTCTGACTCACAGACTGTAAGTACGTTTTTTATATTTAAAGAATTTGCCACTGACGATTCAAACGCGAGTTTTGAGCAGTGTAGAGTAGCGCTTGTTGTTTGTCATTTCTCCGATCACAAATGCAGACATGGTTTTATGTTTACGCGGTGCTGCGCGATGCAACGCAATGTGTAAAAAGACAATATAAGTCATTACAATCTGTAATGTCCCCACTGAATGCAACAAATGCCTGGTTTATAATGGGTTTTCATGTTTTTGAATCGTTGCTCCGGCCTGACAGGGCATCACAGTATGGTGAGGGGCGTAACATATCCATCACACGCTTGAGGTAATGTTATTTTTAGCAACATCATATGACCCCTTTAAAGATTACCAAGACAATTTTTTTCAGCGGATTAATTTGCACGGATTAATTGTTCACATCAAGACTAGCAATGTGCGCTAGTAAAGTAAATAAAGTCAATTTTGATTTCATGCGGACTTTAATTTTCAGTCATTTTGTTATGAGCTTTTTCAGTTTTAGTAATTTGAGTATTTCAGCCTAAGCTTATTTCATTAGTTAGTTGCTAAGGCAGCATTTCAGTTTCAATTTTTTCAACTGATATTAACTCTTTCCCCGCCATTGACGGATTATCTCGTCTTTTACAAGAAAACGCTTCCCCGCCAAAGACGAGTTTTTACGGCTTTTCGTGTTTTCACTGTTATACACTCGGGGCGCTATTACGCATCTTCTGAACACGTACAAAATCTCCCGAACAAAAACACACGTGAACAGGATGGAGAAACTAGCGATCTCTTATGTAAACAGATGCATATGAAAAATATGCTATCATCAGCAATAGACAGCATATAAATGAAAACTGCATAATGTTACAGAGTAAAATGTTGATCCAGGAAGTGGTATATGTCTGTGCAAGCTTTGGAGGTGTTGATGGAAGCGATTTACTGGATTTATGCTTTGATGATCGGACCGAATATTATCCAGATGTAGTTTTTGATAAAAATGTGATTTTCTCACCTTTTTGCTCAAAATTATGCATTTTTTATGAAACCTACCTATATTCAAGTGTTGATAAAAAAGAATGCTTTAAGCTAGAATAAAACTGAATAAAATAGAATTAAAAAATTGTTTAAAAGTAGAGACTGGTCTTTATTTTGGTCTATTGCATATTCAAATATTCATATAGCAAAATATACTGGAGGCCATAAAATTTTAGTGAAAATCATCAAAATCGCTGGCGGTGGCTGGCAACTTTTTTCAAAAATGCTGGTGGGGAAAGTTAATATTTTATTGCAGTGTTTTATTAACAACACTGACATGCTGTTGCTAGGGTATTGTTAGGTACTTGATAGTTTGTTCTTGGTGGTCACATAAAGCACTAAAAGCACAGGACCAAACATATATTGATATCGAGGTCAAAATAAAACCAGCTTGTGTTTTTATTTAATGATATTCATCACATTACTTTAACATAGACACAAACTTACCAGCATTGAAGGTGCACTCTTTGGTTTTGCTGAAAGAACAAAAGAGAGCGATGTTATTCATTCATTCACTCCTTCAAAGACTACATTCAAGTTTTGTTTGCCGTCTTTGACATGTGTTTTGAGAAAAGGATGACTAATTCATGGAGCTCATCCATTAATCCTGACCCGGCTTTCATGTGGCCTCTCACAGAGCTCTGTGCAATGGAGAGAACACGGAGTTAAAGTGACAGGAGACTTGAGAGGGTGACCCAAAACGGCTTTCAACTTTAGTACAGGCAGATTTAGAGCCTGTTTACATGACTAAACAGATCTGGAGGGGTGCCAGCACTGGAGGGGATTTTGCATCGAAAACAAACATGGCAAACCTGCTATACACTGGAGGCTTTGATGAAAAAAAGAAAAACATGTTCTGTTTGTGTCTGTGCATGCATTTCTTAAATGCTTTTACTAACTACACAGTTTTCCACTTCCTGTATGCTGACGCGTGACTGTCATGATTGACAGCCTGTCTCAGACAGCTAGATGCAATAAATTAGACCCATTAATCCAGTCCTATTTGCTGGAATAGGTTTGTAGGACTCAACTATCCACATGGGGATTAGAATTGACAGCAAACCGTTTCTCTTGCTGGAAAAAAATTGACCTTTCTTTAGGGTAAAATAAAATGTTATGTAATGGGAAGACAGAAGGATCGTGGGTGCAGATGAATAGAAATGCTCCCACAATGATCTGTTTGTGTCCACGCAGTTCTGCAGAAACCATCCAAACACTTCATTAAAGAAAAGACTGAACCAAAGCATCCCTAATAACCCCTATTCAGAGTGGTGTAGACAAAATTATACAATACTGCCATAATATGCAGATGGCTAAATGTGAGGAACAGTTTTCATATGTGTCACCACATGGAGTTCTGGAAATAGAAATGTTAGGTAAATATTCAAATATTACACAAAACAGGTCAAATGTTTTCTTAATGGTTTGGTTTGGATTGTGCATGTACCTTCACAATTCAGTTTAAACCATGAATTATGTCACTTTTTAACTCTCATTTGGGCTTGTTGGGTGTTCATTTTGAACCCTGTTTACAACCAACATCATGCTTATTGTATAAAAAAATTATTTATATTTATAAATGCCATTTTAGGAACATTTCATGAGTCCACACACCTGGTTTAAGGTAATGATACACAAAGTGGCAGCTGTCCTGGCAACAAAGCTATTTTCTCATTAGCACATACTGGAAAAATAAATTTTACCAGTAATCACTCTAGGCTGTGTAGCAACCATAACTCAATATAATGCTGTAAGCATGTGCCACAAATGCACTTGACCTCAAAGGAGCCTTATACTAATGCACAGACTCTACACCCATCCATTCCACACATACTGTAGCATTCATGACTTGTTCCAATCTGACAGTTCATGTCTTTTATACGTTAAAAACACCACACAAGATTTGCACGCACAGTATCTCTATGGATTAAATTGAATTTCTAAGCAAGTGATTTACTAAAATGTATGTGGAAGTTCTCTGGACATAATGTCCTTCAAACCATTTTCTTTCCTGCTGTAAAGCACTCACTCTAATTTGCCTTTAAAGCTGTGTGTGTGTGTGTGTGTGTGTGTGTGGGGGGGGGGGGTTCCATGTTTAATGCATACGACTTAGCAGCAGAAACGATCAATATCTAACTCAGATTGCACTAAAGCAATTAGTGAAACTCATGCATTATATGTAGCATATCTTCAACTTGAATGTTAGTTGAATGGGTAACTATCTTTCATGTAAATGATAATTAAAGCCATATGGAAAACATGCACATTCTTGTTAAGTGACTCACAAAATGTTGCACAAAATGCCCTAAAGATAAACAAAAGCGAAGCTTTGCGACAGCAAAGTAAAATGCATATGCAAAATGTTGTTAGATTCTAGACATGTTTGCTTTTAAAGTCTATTGTTCCTATTTGGGAAGTTAAAACACAAACTCAGCCCAGGTGTGTTCGCTTTGTTTATCTATAGAAGCCATGATGCTGAGAATATTCTTATTTGCCTACCTATGTTTGCTTTGTTGCGGGAAGCTGATAGCAATTCCATTATCAGCCTCACCTTAAAACTACCAAAGTTTTTCTTTTGAAGACCTGAAAGTGCTTAACAAGAACTTGAGCTTTACCTGGTCGACCTCTTCATGTTGTTTGTCCCGTTATTCCTTTAAAGTGCTATAGCTGGAATTTGCAGAAGCGTCAGGCAAAACACTGAGTTCCTTGTTTGAGTTAACTTCAGCTCTGCAGGAACATGGACCTCCCTAACCAATGGCAGAACACTTCCTCAGTGTGCATGACAGCCCCTTTTTGGGTGACCACACCCCCCTGTGCTTCAATCCAGTAATATGAAGCACTCTGCGGTCAAGAGACTGTTTCAGTGGTGAGTGTGTCAACCAAGTGACAGCGTACGGTTGCCATGCACCATACAAAGTTTAATATCAAACAATCATCATGCCATAAATAAAACACTACCAACATGTAGGATTTTCTGCCATACAAACATCCTGCAGGTGCATGGTGGGAAATGTATTGGAACTGATACTTAACCCTTCAGTAGGCTGAATTGGTACTTAAGCAATAAATGCTTATTGGGCTTTTTGGAAATTTTCCCTACTAAAATGTTTTTTTTTTTACCCTTCTTTTCAAAAAATTGAATTTAATGTAACTCTATATTAAGTGGTAACATGGTTAATGGATTTCTGTTGATGAAAGTTTAATGAGAGTTTTCCAGTGGTTGCTTTACAGCTTTGATAGGATCTCAGTCAATAACACTTCTATTGACAGATGTCTAACCTAAACATCAGTGTTTACATTCCTTCCTGGAAATCCATGTATACACGCCATAAATTATTTATGACTATTTGATCAAATTCTTCCTAAGCTTTCTTACTGTATGCACAAGTGCACTTATTAGTTGAAATATCTTTCTAACTAAGAAATGTTCAAACGTTTGGGATTGGTAGGATTTTTTTTAATGCTAACCATGGCTACATTTATTTAATCAAAAATACAGCAAACAGCAATATTATGAAATACTATTACATTTAAAAAGAATTGTTTTCTATTTTACTATATTTAAAAATGTACTTTATTTCTATGATGCAAAGCTGAATTTTTAGCAGCCATTACTCCAGTCGTCAGTATCACATTATCCTTCAGAAATCATTCTAATATGCTGATATGCTGCTCAAGAAACATTTCTTACTATTATCAATGTTGAAAACTGTTGTGCTGCCTAATATTTTTGTGGAAAACATGATGTATGTTTCTATGAACCAGAACACACAATGGTAACCTAACAATTGCTAAATGTTTTCAAATTCTGAGTAAGGTGCCCCCTGACATTTTGTATACTGTACAAGTATTTTGTAAAATTACAAACTCTTTCTTTTTTTCAGGTTTATTTGACAGGGACAATGTACATCAATAATACATAAATGTAAAATGTGCCAGAATTAGCCAGAAGGATATTTTGCATTTGCAGTCCCTGGGGGAAAAAAATCAGCAGTAAAATGACAACAATTATATCATACATGATGCTGATTTAGCTCAAAACATAGTATAAAATGGTATTTTATAAACGGTTTTCTATGGATAGTCCACCTCTTCCCCTTTACACTGTCTGTGGTGTCTTGCTGACCATGGGTCTGGGTTTGTCATCTAATTAGACACTGAGGTAGCATCTATTTTTAGCTCTGTGTTGTTGTCTTGTACTAGCCTCAAGGTTCGGAGGGAAGGAGAAGAACTGAACTTTTATCTCTTTGTATAGAAAAATCATTGAGATTAATGCACTTTAGTTAGATGAAATGGTACCTGTCTCTCTTTCCACATGTTGAGCTGCTGGATGAGGTGGTTCTGCTGCGGGAGTCTGCCATCTCCTTCTTCACCGTGGACAGGCGTTCTGTGGACATGCTCTTCCTAACACACAGAGACAAGAGCATGAGGTGGAGAAGAATGAGTGAGGCACAATGCAGAGGCCAGGAAAGAAACACATCAAAGAAAAGAACAAAAGAGCATGACTGTTTTCAATATTTCATAATAATTAGAAATGCTACTTAAAAAGCAATTTAGCATAATAGTATGATTTCTGAAGGATCATGTGACACTGAAGACTGGAGTAATGGCTGGAGTAATTCAGTTTTGGATTACAGGAATAAACTTCATTATAGCCATCCTTTAAACTAAATGGTCCAAATGGTTTATTACTCCATATCACCATCTTGAGGTAGAGAAGTAATACTGCACTGATGTTGTTGATGTGGGAAAAATGAAAATATTTCCAGCATGTGCAACGTCAACAATAAAATGTCTTCCAATAAAATGACATTTGAAAAATAATCTGCAATTAAAAATGATACATATGTTGCTTATAACTCTCACCTTTTGATAGACATCAGCACCTCCTTTTTCGGAGAGGAGGGAGAGGAAGGATAGCCACTCAAGCGTTTTGTTTGCACATAGCCATTTGTCAGAGGCTTGGATGGCAGAGCTTGCAATATCTGCCGAACTAAATCAGGAAGGAAGAAAGTGAGATCACATGCAAATTATTTTCACCTCCCACATGGAAACTTTTTATGTAACCACTATATTATGTATTACAATCCATCCCTGTAGCTCTTAAGGTTGAAATATCCTAATAGTTAATAATCTAGGATGCTAACACAAAGGTTACATCTTATAATGTTTAATCAGTAATGCACCCTTGGACAAGGTTACCCTCAGATTATTATAGTGTAAATTGCTTTAGATGAAAAAGTATCTTTCTAGGCTCTAAAGACATAATGACAATACGCAGAGGGCCATAATAAAGCACTGACCTTTAGTAGGTCCACCTTTCTTGCTGCTGGCCTGTGTGGTCTCCTCACAGCAGCCCAGCCTTCTCAAAGCATCCGCCAGCGCCGCCTTCAGCAGCTGAATCTCATCCTCCTGCAGCTGCACCCTCTGCTCCAGGTGAGAGAGACGGTCATCCATCTCCATCCCACTCCCGGCTGATACATTATCATCTGAAAGAGACAGACAGATAGTTATACTATTAGAATTTGTAGGAAATTGAATTTGTAGAGTTTGTCCAAATCTGTATAACTTTCTTTCTTCTGAGGGATATAAAAGATGATATTTCTGTGCTCCAAAAACAAAAGTCATACAGGTTTGGAACGACATGAGGGTGAGTAAATGTCAATGATGACTATCCCTTTAAACCAGTGGTTCTCAATCCTTTTTGACTCAACTGCCCCCCATAGTCCAACACGTTATTCAAAGGCCCCCCATTATAAGGTATACCTATAAGGTATGATATTTTCTTTGGTATTTCTGTAATTATGACAAAGCTGCTTGTTTTCAAACTTTTTTTTTTTATCAGAAACTTGGATCATTGATATATTTAATACCTAAAATTAATTTTGTGATTCCAGAAATTTTAAGAACTGTATGTTCTAAATAAATAAACAAATAAATAAAAAGCAATAGTTATTGGGATGTGGTGTTAAAAAAATAAATACACATTTATTTTTACAAATCTTATTATTATTATTAATATATGTAAATTTGAATAAAAATAGTATTTTAAATTAAATCATCCTGCTGTCCCTTGAAAGTTTGCCGGGGCCCCCGAGTGGTTCTTGGCCCCCTGGTTGAGAACTAGAACTTCTTCTCAAAGTCATTTTTAAACAACACAATTTGGATAGACACTGCGGAAAGAATGTGGTTCAAAAAGTCACTCCTATTAGCCTAAGGTGGAAAGTCCATTTTAATTTACACACTATTTGGTCACAAAAAAATGTGTCTTTGCATAACCAAATATCAAAACAAATGGCATCAACTTTAATGAATTATAGCACAAATGTATTTTTGAACTATACATTTCAAATGATATGACAACGTAAATATTATTCAAAATGAAGAAAAAAGTACTTGAACATGTGTTTACCATGCTAGGACACCTGTCACTTCATACACCCACTATAACAACACTGGGATCCACTTGCTTAAAAGTAATTGAAAAAATGGTAGTTCAAAGAAAAGCTTGTTTGCACTAATAAAAATGTGTGCATTTTTAATTGTCAAAACATCTATGATTAAAAACGCTGATGAATATTTATCCAACAAAATGTGTTCATACCACAAAAATCCATTAAAATCACTTGAAAATAAAAACTGAAAGCCTGAGCGAACAATTGAGAAAGTTTCAAATGCTAACAATGCTGATTCACTGTGGTAGCCATCAAATGTGTTGCATTTAAATATACAACTTACAAATACACACAATAAACAAAACGAAAAGGATTTTTCCTGCCATATTTACAAATTTTTTCAAAATTAGCTCCTCAATATTTCACATAAAACAGTGGCTCCTTGTCTCTGTTTCGATCTCAAGGGCAATGCAACGGGCTCCACGCTAAGTGTGCATATATAATAAACCTCTTTTAGTGCCTGCACCGCTAACACATGGAGATCACAGCTGTAAAGCAGCATCAGCAGGTGGTGAGCACGTCAACTGAAATAATAAATGTGAAAGAAAAAATGGGAGGCAAAAGTGGAAGGTGAGAAGAAAGCAGGATAAAGCTATAGTGATGCTGGAAGACAAAAGCAGTCTGGAGGAAACCGAATGCTCAGTGACCGAGTGTGCTGAAATATTCATCATCCCGCTCTGTTTGTACTCCCCTCCTACCTGCCATTCCAGTCAGTACTATGTCCGCCTGTCAGTCAGCCTCTCGGACAGCCTGATCCTCTGCAGGTCTCTAGGGATTTCCTAAAGGTGCCAAACGCCTCCCTGGCCAAGGTTTCTTTCTCCCACCTTCCCCTTGGCTTGCTGGATGGCTGATCCCGTGTCTGGACCTCCCTTCCTCCCCCTCCCCCACCCTTTACCACTCAGTGCTGTGAGTAAAGAGGAGAAGGGTGATGTTTGTAACAGGACACTGTTTCCCCGTCTCCTATGCGGTAGAAAACTGCTGGTGGTGCTGTTGGCAGAGAGAGAGCTTTGGCTCGACTCCAGACCTGTCTGATGCATCGACCAGGCACTACCAGGAAGTGCACTGACCAGCCTCTCCACCAATGGGACACTAAAGTGTGTACATGCGTTTTTACAATTTACAACTTGTTGTTTTATACCCCCAGGGCGCATGCTCATTTTCTTAATCAATATTATTCACATTAGGGATTTTTACTGTACTAATTGAATTGCTATTATCAAAGTCTGACCTCAGATATGCAGATCCAGCGTTTAATATCAGTTTAAACCATCCAACTGTACAACAAGGACAGACACTCTCTCTGACCCAGGCTCATCATATACTGTCTACTCATCCATCTGTTGTCCAGCCAAATCATCTGGCACAGAAATTGATTTACTGGAAAACCCAAACAATGACCACTATGTACACTGATACCTATCCTTGAGAGAACCTGTAATGCACAAGAACGAAGATGAAATAGGCTAGTCGTTTCGACAGCAACAACAACAAGCTGTGCACAATGGTTGTTAGCATAAGGACACCATAGTGATAATATTGAATTTCCTAAAGACCTTCAGTGATTGACTGTATGCAGAATTTTATTCAAGCATTTTAATTGTATTTATTTATTACTTATCTTTACTTAAATCAAAAAGGAATTGCAGGTCTACTCTGCAACACTAGGGAAAAAACTATTTTAAAAGGAAATAATAATTTGCAACTAACCATATAATCATTAAGCAAGCAAAATCAATAGGCTTACTGTCGTTAAAAGAGAGGAGAAACATCTTATCTTATCCATATATTTTGCAGTTGAGGTCAAAGGCTGTGTGTCCAAACAGACTTTATGGTATTTTGAAGCACATTCATCAGTTGGTAGACTGGCTAATACTAATGCAATATTTAGAACAGTGTTTTAGACTGGTAAGTCACATTCCTGCTGTTGTTTACAGTATACAATAACAAAATTGTCAGATATAACAACATGTAATTTTGCCTATGCAAAAAAATTATTAATTAATTCTACTTCTTCTTTGAATGTCTCCTCTTCTCTTGCTTTCTAATCTAGTTGTCTAATAAACCTGGCATAGTATATTACGAGTATTGTTTGCTCTTTGACAATTTGCTTTGGATTAAAGTGTCTGCTAAATTAATAATTGTAAACACACCATGAAACGAATGCCATGAAATGAATGGTAAAATTCTGTATGATAAATCTGATGCTCTGCTGGTTTACACTTGACAACACAAAATCTCGTCCCTACAGCAAAACTAGTTGAGAACCAATGCGTTAAACAATTGGCAACTGTTTGTTAATAATTAGATCTGACTGTAATATCATTTTTAATTAAAATCTTTGCATAGTCATGATAATGCTGACAACAGACATGATGTTTAGGCCTACAACTGATCTTCAAGGTACTGTTATCACTAGGGATAAACTGTAACCTAGGTAAATCCATTTTAGTAGGTGCGTAATGTTATACACTAGATTACTGGGTGACAATAAATAAGTAACTCGGTACATTCTTTCCACTAAAACCTTATGCAAATCAAATAACAAAGGCCCAGTGAAGCAAGCTGAATCAGGATGAGAGGATGAGAGGCACAAAGCATATCAACAGATGAGGAGAAAATGAATGAAAAATGTAAACACATGTGACAAATCATGTAGCTTGGACTGCAATGCTCTAACACCAGTCTGAATCTGAGTAGATGTTCATTCTTGTACCCTGATACTGATCCCAACCGCACATACGCGATAAGAAAATGCCTTAGGTGAAAAGAAAATTTGCATGTAGGCTATATAAAACTGATCATAATTTAAACAAATATATTCATCACTGGCAACAAGGAGACAATTTCTTTAGTTGTGCCCTCGCAGGCAGAGACGCACCGACACGTCAATAACATTACATTGCTGGAATGTATATAGTTAATATCAAAGACACAATTCGTTCGCGTTCGACATGCGTTTAACGAAAACAAGCCATCTCGTGAGGCTCTCCAGCGCATTCATTATAAATGCTCAGTCAAGCCAAACTTACCGTTGCAATACCGAAGCAAAAGGGTGTTCGTGTCATACAGATTCCCACATGAAGCTACTCGCTCCGACATGTCCTTCTACTGATCAATTCCTGTATTATTCCTTTTAAATCGCCGGTCCTCCGATCCGCCTGCCTTCTTTCCTGACATAAGAGTGAACCTTCAATACCTTTCCACCGAACAACCGACAACAACCTGTGCTGCCTGCGTTTCTATAGCAACAGCCTCACCGCTGATCTGCTACCCAGAGGAAACTAGAGCGCATGTTTACTTTTGGAGTCCCATAATATGCAGTCACTACTTTCATGAGCATGATGTGTATATTAAGATAGGTTAGTCAAACTAGCAAGCCATGAGGGCAAAGTCTACATCAAGATATCTGACTACTGTGCACAGGTATGAAAAAGATGAATAGATTATTATTGCCGTGTGTAGTCGGTCTAGAGATATTTATCTTGGGAATTTACGTGCTAATAATGTTGGTGTCATAAAATTCCATGTCCTTGACAGTAAAGCCACTGTTTTTTCTACTCTCTAACGGTAGATGGCGGTGTAGGTATGATTAAAACAAGATATGATAGTGTCAACTCAGCTCCAAACGTTTCTGTATTTGGCCCATTCAGTGAATACTCTACTACACCAGTGGTTTCAGACTTTTTTTTGTATGTCTCCCTATATCTGACACTTCAGATCTTGCAGTCTCCACTAATGAGCTGATGAGTTGAATCAGGTTCCATGTCCTTGACAGTAAAGCCACTGTTTTTTCTACTCTCTAACGGTAGATGGCGGTGTAGGTATGATTAAAACAAGATATGATAGTGTCAACTCAGCTCCAAACGTTTCTGTATTTGGCCCATTCAGTGAATACTCTACTACACCAGTGGTTTCAGACTTTTTTTTTGTATGTCTCCCTATATCTGACACTTCAGATCTTGCAGTCTCCACTAATGAGCTGATGAGTTGAATCAGGTGTGATAGATGAGGGAGACATACAAAATCAGGGCTGGGGGTAGGCTACTCCAGGACAGGTTTGAGAACCACTGCTCTACACCAAGGGTCTTCAACCGGTTGTCCGCACAATTAATGTTTGATCACAAGTAATTTTTGTTTAAAAAAATGAAAACATGGGTAAAATAAAATCACAAAGTTGAAAAAAAATTATTTTAAATATAGGCATTTACAGTTGATTTACAGTTTCAGTTGATATCATAGACTGTAAGGTTTTTTTTGCAGCGATGAGAATTTTTATTCCGAGTAATGCTGGAAATATTTTAAGCTAAAACGGCTTGCCATATACCCAAGACCCAAGTCACTGATTCTAAATGGGGAAAAATCAAATGCAACGCTCAATATGGTCGCGTCTATCGACCGATGCCCCGCCTTCTGATTAAAAGAGCCAATCGCTAATCCGTAAAGTAGTCGCGTCACTGCAGCGTTCTGAGACGCACGCTTAGGACCGCGCATGCGCACTGACTGGTCTAGCCTGAATAATAAGCTTTTCTTTTTTTTTTCTTTTTTTTTACGCTATTTGATTAAAAAAAAATCAACATTGGCGATTTTTAAATATGAAATTTAATCGTAAATTTGGTGAACAGTTTTGGAGAATTTGATGTTTCCCCATTCAAAGAGATATTAGGAGCTGCGTACTGAAGAATGAAATGACTTGTCTTAAAAAGGGACTTTGATTATGCTCGCTCTGTGCTGCAAATGACTCCCTACTGCAGGTAAAGACGGTATCAGTATCAAACACGTAATACAAAAATAAGTGTTCAGTCAGTGCACCAGAAACGCCCCAGGTATGTGTAATTTATAAGATACATAGTTAAATGTATAGGCTAGCCTACTATCAATATTTGACTCCGTCAATATTTATTGCATATTTCTAGGTTTGGGTTGCGTGTAGAAACTTTGTTTATTTCTGGTATGAGTACATAGCTTTAGTAGAATTTCAGGCAGAGGAGAGTAAATCCTTATTTGTTTGTGATTATTTTTATTTGCAGAGTTGCAGGGTGTAAACAAGCCTACATCATTGCTGGTATGTAAGGATTATGGTAGATGGATATTGTATGCCAATTGATATTGCAGTCTAGCACATTTTGTAATTTCATGTTTTTTTCTCCTGTTGACCTGCCTTATTTTGCCTGATCACTGAACATCTAGGCTATTTATTTTTTCAACAGTGAGTTGTGAATTCAGTTGACATTGAGGCCTCAACGGTCATATTTGTGTTTGTTTATAATTTTAGCTTTCATTAAGCCAAAACAAAGGCGTCTCTCAAGTGAGTGAGGCTCACATGTTCATTTTACCATTTAATCAGACAGGAAGTGACATAAGCCTACTTATTCTCAGACTGTTTTTGAGCAGCTCTATCACACCCCTCATTCATGAATCAAGAGTGGTTATTGTTAATGGCTCCATGGGTCATGCTTATGCAAGATCATTATGGTTGGCAGTTCAGGAAAACTGGTAACTGGTGTATTGACTTGATGTTTGGGGTTTATTTGCATGTACCATTGCTCTATTCACTTCTCATTTCATCACTCTCTGGCAACGTGTCAGGAGGGAGAGAGAACAGAGCTCTCATATGGATGTCAAATAACAAATGCCCTATGTGTGCCAGTATGTAAGGTCAGAGTTTTTCTGATTATATTGGATGGTTGAATGGAGCAGAAAGAGTTTTAATTGGGTTGTAGACAAATAGGAGAATGAGAAAGATATGCACTGTGAATTTTCTATAGATTTTTCCATCATTCTACTAAAAGCTCCACTCTGCAGACACTGCAGTATTTGAAGTATTAAAAATGTGTAACTTAGTCCTCAAAGTACTAATTTTCTAAATTACATTTTGACACACTTCATAATTTGATGTGCTCTTAAAAGGCTTGGGAAACTTGTTTGTAACTAAATTTTAAGAGGAATAATTTTCCTTAAAGTGATAATTGAGCTCTATCTGCACAAAACTAGAGCGCTTTGATCTTCAAGATATGATGATATGTCTCAGCACTTGTAAGAAAGATATTCAAATAATACATTTTTCATGCAATGGAATCAGTTCTTTGTTGGCATCCATTTGAACTTTTAACTTAATGGCAGTTGCTTGGCTGGTGCAAGAAGTGCAATTTGCAATCTGCCCATTTCATTCAACACTCAAGAATTTTTTTTTTTTTTAAAACATGGGGCAGATTCAACCCCCAAGAATTTTTTTTTTTTTTTTTTTTTTTTACTTGAACCAGAACGACAGCTGGATATTCGCTTTGCTTTTCACCTTGTGAACATCCTCCCATTGAGATTTCCAGAAGACATTTGTTGTCTTGTCATATTTCAGTAAAAGTTATTTTTGTTTGTCATACAAGCATGTATCAATCGTGTAACTTTAAAATGCAGTTTCTTCATGAGTGGAAGAGTGAATATGCAAATGATTTGGACTTAAGGCAATACATGTATCTTATCAAATGGTTTAAGGAGCAGTGGGGAACAGCCATATTATGAGTAAAATGTTCAAGTGCAATAGTCCATTATACATAGTGTATTTCTGAAACTCCAATTTATGTTTATGTCTCACTAATGGTTTGATCACACTTTCAGTAGAAGTGGTTTGGGTAGTTTTTATTGGTTGGCATTGCCACACTGTTTTTTTTAGTGTATCATCCAGGAACTTCTGTACATTTAAAAGGTGGTTGTGAGTCAGCTGTACCACACCACGCCATAGCAAAGCTAATTATGAATGGGTCACTGTCCGTCTTCAGGCTGGCATCACTGTCCATGTCTTACAGTGGAGGGGACAGTGTATGTGATAAAATATAAGGACAGTGAACTGAACTTTCACTTGCCTTGTTATCCTTTTTATGATATACATGCATTTTTAGGCCTTGCAAACTATTTCTCTGACACTTGGTTGTTATTTTTAAACTTGTGAGCTAGATAAAATGATCTGACTGGCTAACATGGAGGTTTTTTAGAAATTGAAAGAGTGTTTGGTAGCGTCAGTCCGAATGGGCTGAAAATTATTATATATTATATATAATTTATAAAATAATATATTAATATATAAAATAATTAAAAAATAAATTTTAAAAGGTTAAAAAAAATATAGGCTACATTTAAAATAAGGAGTCTTATAACAATTCATAATTTAAATGTAAACATTTTTGTGTGGGGCCATTTTAAAATGTTGGCAGGGCAAGTAGAAATCTGAACTACCAGCAGAAAAAAGTACTTGGTGTTGAGCCCTTGTTAAATAATGCTATATGGAGTTTTTGGCACGTCTAATAACAGAACTTAATGATCAATTGTTGTCACAATTAATGCTGTAAATGTCGCTTGAGATGCAACACAAACCAGTTTGGTCGAAACATGCTGACTATTTTATCAGTTAGACTTGTTTTGTCATGTCAAGGACACTGCCTACACATATATTGTAGAAAATATCTTTATCTTAATACATGAATAATACTCTTAATGCATGAGTAACAGCTGATGAGGAAGTACAGTTGAAAAAAAAAAAAGACAGCATCATAATTTTTTTTATTTTGAATTTCTGCTTCTGTACACTTGTCAGGACAAGTTCTTTGTGAGCATGGCACTGTTGCCATGATAATGTTAAACAAACAGACCAACTAAACAATGGATACACCTGAACACCTTTGCATCTTAATTCCCATTATTAAATCTACATTTTTGACATCTTGGCAGGGTCACATTCCATTATTATGACGCATGACCTATCAAGCCTGGAAGCCTTTTTCGTTTGACGCAAATGTTGGGTTACTTCACATGGAGATTCTCAGTGTGTTTTCTTATGACTAGCAGCATGACATAACCACACAGCTGTTTCTGCCTGGAGCTACTCTACCCGAACAAGACTATTGAGTATGTCCCTGTGATAGTGACCCTTCTTTAACTCAATCTAGAATTTCAGTGAACTTCCAAGCTACTTCCTGTCTGCACTGGCAATCCCACTGAGCATCATAGTTTTCTATCCTCATTATCAGGCCTGTCACGATAACAACTTTTTGTTGTGCGATATATTGCCCCAGAAATAATTGCGATAAGTGATATTATTGTCATTTTAAAGGCCTACACACTTCTAAATGACAACAAACTTTTAATTTTTAAGAATATTTAGATCATGGAAATTAAGTATCAAAATATTAGATACCTTAAAAAACTTGAATAAATAGTAAATAAACATTT